TATTTCAAGTCTGGTGCAAAAACACATGATCGCACCGGCTCGCCTGGTGCGTTCCAGCCTGGGTTGGGATATGAAGGAAAGAGAGGTAAAACGAAGGGTTTTGCGAAATACTTACGGCAGGTAAAGCAGTGCTTTTGGAGAACTGAAAGTTAGTGACAAAGTTCATTCGTTTCCGGACACATACATACATATACACACACATACATACGCAGACGACCTCTCGACAATATGTGTTGCTGTCTACTGTAGCAAAGCTATAGCGCTGCAGAGCAAAAACGCATAATGTGGCGACCCATGGCATGCGTGAGTGTGTGTCTGTCCGGGTATTTCAACTCGGCGGCCAAGCAAGCTTCGGCGCCAAAATTTTGCCACTAGGTCCCGACCAAATGCTACCTCGATACCACGGTACCAACCTTCACTTACGTCTGAGTCCTGCATAACCTTCAAGTATATGCACGCGAAAGTTGTTAGAGGAACATTTATTAACTCGGAAGCCAGGAAAGCTAGAAAGCTATAGTTTCAAGGGGATGTTCCAGGACCACGCAGAACTTGAAGATCTAAAATTCAGTCCTCAGGTGTGCATGGTCCTCACGTATGGATCCGTGAAAATTTTTGGCGGAAAAACTGCTAACTTGGGGAACAGAAAAGATGGAAAGCCAGAATTTTAATGGAATGTCCTTTGTCCAGATACAACAAAGATTTCAAATTCAACCACGACGTATGCATGATCCTCACGTACGGTTACTTAAAAGTTTGGCGGTAAGATTGCTCACTGAGGAGCCAAGTCATTTTCAAGGAACGACCTTAAACGAAAATTGTTCATTTTTCTTTATGCAAATTTTACGATAATTTACGCTAGCAGGCGCATAAGCGAAGTGTAAATCAACAACCATTCACATAGTTAATGACCCGTTTGCTTCAAGTTTAATGCGAAAACACGTGATCGCACCCGCAAACCTGGTTCGTTCCATTCCAGTTCATAATGTAAAACTTGCCTGAATGTGCATTATCGGTTTCAGATGAGGAACTATGCCGGCTTGGAGTTGGTTTTAGGATTTGGCTTAGTACAGTCAGCTTCGAGATTTCAAGACTGTACCGTTCCTTAAGTTCGCAAGGTATAAAATTCGTCCGAATTTGATCCTGATTAAAAGTCGGAACCAGAATAGTCTGAGACTAGATAAGCTGGTCCTTGACCTCATGAGGGATCAGGATCTTTGTCTCCAAAATTCCAGGCTTGTAAGCTTCTTGGTACATGGACAAAATGAAAATTAAACTAAACGCCAAAGATCAGAGCAAAAAGCAGCCTGAAAGTTGATTTCAGAATTTCGTCTGTACAGGATCCGAGACTCTTCGAGATTTAAAGCCTCTGATTTACAGCCTCATGAGGCATGAGGATCTTTCCTTTGATTTTCAGTTAAAGTCCCCTCATTTTGGGACAGAGATCAATGCGCAGAAAGCAAAATGGCCTGAAAGATGAACATTGATTTCAGTTTCACATCGATTCGTGCATTTTGTTCCGAAATCTCAGCTTTTCCTGTTCCGAAGTGTACGATCAGACAGAAATACTCACGCGGTTTCTCAATGACTAGTTTTTGCAACCTGATGCAGCAAACCAGTGAGAACTGGAGCTATGCAGCTCAGAACTGAACGGCCCGAGATAGATGAAGCGGTGTATAGAAACACCTCAATAAAACCATTAAGCTGAGATATTCATACCGATTGCGTAGGCAGTTTTGGCATTTTGATAAGTATTTACAAATGGATAACGGGGGACTTGTGTGGGTCAACGAAATCCTGCTTTTGTGAATGGCGCAAATTATTCTCCGCTGTGTTTCGTAGTTATGATCTCAACAGTCTGGTACATTCACAGCGCCAAAATCAGAGGCTGTGGTTTATCTTTGTTCGAAGTATCAACCTCGATTTTGAACGGCAGATCATAATTCGGACTGTGATTTTCAGAGTTAGCTATACATCATTCACGCTGCGTCATTTGGTGTTTTAAAAATGTAAAATTTCACACCTGGTGCTCACCCAAATTTAAGTTTATGAATTTAGTATTTCAGGGCAGGTTACGAGCAAGGTCTGGGAAAAGGTTTTAGTGTGCCTTTCAAAACGTGGAGTGCTTGAATCACAGATTTAAAGTGAACTAATTCATCCACTGATGATTATGTTAAAATAGGTTAAATTTTGTCTGAAATCGCAAATCAGTAGATGCTGAATTCAAAAAGTCAATTCGTGCTTTTCAACCCACTTCGCATGCGGAATAAAATTCTTACAAAGTTTATTTCCTCGTTTTTTCAAGACACGAAATCTGAACCAGAGCCAAAAGCTAAGACGCAGAGAAGCTGATTTCAGATTTGTAAACTCTCCAACTGTGTAGGACTAGTATACCAAAACTGAAACTTCCTGACGTTTGCAGTTCTTGAATCCAACCCCTCCTCTGTTTACGCACATGAACATCATTTCACTCTTATGAGTTTTTGATTTATGACAAAAAAAAAAAATAACAGATAACGACCAGTGTGAGAAAAAGATGTGGCCACGTACTTTTTTAACATGTACACGCACTTAGGACGACGATGCAACGCCAGCCGTCAAACAGCAAAAATTCGACTCCCTACCTACCCCACAGTACAGTAACAAACACAGATTGCAAACAGACCCGAGGTCGCATGCTACGGCCCAACGCAGTCCGAAAGCGAATTACAGTTATTTAGCTTGCATTATTTAAAAAAGTTCGAGAATTTTGATGCATAGTCTGCTGATTCCCGGACTAAAGTACCAGCATGAATTTAAACTTGAGGACATCCCAGTTTTCAAACGCAGATTTCAGAACACTTGCCTATTATTCTCCAATAAACAAGAGTTTTAAGATCTCAAATTTCGCTTGCTTGGCTCTAAGCTAACAAAGTTAGATGAATTTAATTCCAAAGTGATTGAAACTGCTTCCACCTTACTAGATTCAATGAACTTCTCGGGCACAATTTACACATGTAAGCCTAGTGAAAGCAACAATTATCTCTGGAATTACTTCAAGCATAACTGCAGTTACACCAACGCTCTTCCCGCTAGCGTAATTTCCGCGACAACCGCCCCCCCCCCCCTCTCAAGATTTTGTGACAGATCAATGGAAAGCGCAGTATTTTACGTTTCGTCTTTTCTTCTTTTGTCCTCCACTACTCCAGCAGCCCTGACTTTGCCTCCAAATCCCGAATCCCAACGCTGAGACTAAGCATATTCAAACTGTCTTGTCTAAATAAGCACAATCTTCGTCAGGCAGTCACATCACTTTTTTTTGCTAACCTCTCTGTGCCACTCACTACCAGTCACATGTACAACTCTTTGACCAACCGTACCAGTGATAAAAATCTTTATTCAAAAAAAAGGGGGGAGGGGAAGGTGGCATCTCTTGCAAAGTGTTTAAAAGTAGTATCTGGCTGGCGAAATGTAGAAAATTGGTGATGCCTGTGAAGCCACCTCTCCAAATCTAACGCAAATTGGTCACGCGATATGCAGAGTAATTAGTACGGAGTAAAAGTAATGCCCCATTATATAATCTGACTTTGTCAAGGTCCTCAACGAAAAGCAGAAGAAAAAACATTCATTTTAAAAAACTAAAATTCGGAACAAACGAGCCAAATGAGATGCAAGTGAGGAAACAGAAACAGTGAAACGGTTAACAACAATATCAAATTAACAAGAAAGTCGTCGAGTATTACAAATTTATCATTTCCTACACATCAGCATTGATCAGTTCCGTCAGCTAAATTTGCCAGCGAAAAACAACAGTGAAATAAAAGCTGCGCAGCATGTTGGCCTAATTTCGCATGCGCTTCAGAAAACTGGCTGCTGCATGTTCTTCAAATGGTACTTTCGAAGTTCTCACTGCTTCTTAATGAAAATACTTAGGCTAAGGAATCTGAACGGTGAACAAACTGAAAAATCTTAAAAATCTTTAGAAACAGTAAAAATTTCGACCAGTGTCAATTCTACACACACCAACAACGATATACCGAGCATTTTAAGACTCAACAGCTTACTGTGGAACACGATATCTTAATGACAGCATCACATTTCTCGAATAAACATTCTTTTCCGAAGGAATATGCTCACAAACGCCTTCACTGATAAGGATTTCTGCGACTTCTTTCAAAGACGATCCTAAAAAATTGCAATCTTCGCGATCTAAAATAGAGTGCCAAAAATATTTTAGTAGCCATGGGATTTCAACGATTTCTTCGAAAGACTTACCATTTTCGGTGAATGCTTTAACGCTAGCAATGCCATCTTTGAAAGTAATTACTTGTACTTTCAAATGCTCAAGTTCTTCCAATAAGCGCGATGCAACTTTTGCGAATTCTGGAGTGGGTTTAGAGATCCCATGCAGTGAGCACGGAATAACCTGGAAATAAGAAGAAAACGTAATTTCCCAAGTAAAATGAAAAATATAAAATCTTATCTTCACATTTACACTTCAAAAACAAATAAATAACCGACAAAATAATATTAAATCGCTGACTCTCATTCTCCCCTTATATCTCCGATCCTCGCATTCCTTCCACTCTTCCCCCCCCCCCCCCCCCCCCCCCCCCCCCCCCCCCCCCCCCCCCCCCCCCCCCCCCCCCCC